ACTGAATCATCGCCCCCTAAAGATGATTTAACAACAAAAGAAACCGTGGCGCAAATTGAAATGGTCACGGAAACTAAAACTGTAACCCTAAGAGAACCGCATGAAGAGAAACAGGACTCTGTAGAAGAAAAGGCAGAGGAAGTAAGAGAATTGGAGATCGTAGAGGAACTTGATTCTAGAGATTTCCTTGCTGAAGAACAGCAATCACCGCCACAAATTGTTGAAACTCCAGATCAAGGTAATTTTCATAAAAGATAAGACGATTTCTATGTAGGTACAGCGTTTTCTATCTAACGCCAAAATTATTATTCTTGCTACCATTCCTAAATATTCTTTCTTTATGTGCAGTGGAACGACACGACCACAGTTCGTCAGATTCGGACCAAGATGGACAAGTCAAGAGGCCTAACCGCAGACACTCATCCTTCAGAAAAACTCTCCGACTTTCTTCTGAACAAATTGTAAGATATCATCAATTAACTAATTATTAGTTTAATTTTATGCAATAATCTAATTTGCGCTCTATTCTCTTCTGCAGAAAGACCTAAATCTCCGCGAAGGTATGAACGAGATGGTGTTCAGTGTGACCACAGCGTACCAGGGCACGACGCGGTGCAAGTGCAACGTGTTCCGGTGGCGGTACGACGACAAGATCGTCATCTCGGATATCGACGGAACAATCACAAAGTATGACGCATTTCATATCGTTTTTCTTAAGAATAACGGTTTGACGTAAACGAGAGATCAAAAGATTATAATTATTATTCTAATAAAATTAAATGTTTCATTGTTTAGGTCTGATGTCTTGGGGCACATCTTCCCATTGGTGGGTAAAGATTGGGCGCAGTCTGGCGTCGCACAGCTATTTACGAAGATCAAGAACAACGGTTACCAGTTGTTGTATCTATCGGCGCGGGCTATCGGACAGGCAAGGGTGAGTACGAAACAGTATTTACTTAAGCACGTTATCGGTTACACGATAATCTCCATTGACTTTGTCTGACCATCGTCTATCAAAGTACAAAATTTATCCTGACGTTACGTTATTTATCAGTAGATGTAATATTCTATTATGACAGCTAATTAACATTTCCATGTGTAGGTGACACGTGAGTACCTGCGGTCGATAAGACAGGGTGAGGTGTGTCTCCCGGACGGGCCTCTACTCCTCAACCCCACGTCATTACTCCGCGCCTTCCACCGCGAAGTCATTGAGAAGAAGCCTGAAGAGTTCAAGATCCAGTGTCTCGCAGACATCAAGGCTTTGTTCCCGGCAGGCTCCAACCCATTCTATGCAGGCTACGGCAATAGAGTAAACGTGAGTATCGAATGAAGATAATTACATCGTGACTTCTGTCTACTGATATAATTTTATTGCCGTCGATCTATAATTTGCATACATTTTTATTGACAATATTTTTATTTTATTTGCAGGATGTATGCGCATATCAGGCAGTAGGAATCCCGATTGTGAGAATTTTCACAATCAATTATAAGGGCGAACTAAAACATGAACTGACTCAAACATTCCAATCCACGTAAGTATCCCTACGTATGTACATAGAGCTTTACGTCACGTTCTGTTTCACGTTGCCTAGTCACTAACACGTATTGTACTCGCTGTATTGAGTATTATATTTTTATTTCAGTTACCACGTGCAAAGTGACATGGTCGATGATTTCTTCCCACCACAGAAAACTGAAATAGTTGTTAGCTAGCGCGAGGTTTAGGTGTCAAAATTATATAACTTTAGTTATTGAGAGATTAACGAGCACACGATATTAAGCCGGTAAGCCGTATGGAATGACTTGTAAGGCTTGATCACGTTTGCGGCCGCACACTCATTTTCAAAGCAAAATTAATACCATACATTTAACCAAAATTTTCTGTAACGCCATAACTAGCTGGATACTAAAATGTATACTGACAAAATTACTTACAATCATCGACATGTCATCTGTCTTGTCTGTTTTTGTGTTGGTTTCTGTCTTCGGGATTAACTTAAAACAATGTTATTGTGGTTTATAAAACTAAATTCTTCAGGTTTTATAATTTCCTTTCACTGTCTACTGTCAGTCTGCTAACTTATAATGTTCCATCAAACATTTACATTAAATTACAACAAGGTATACAAACACTTCCCAATCATCTGTACTGTACTCTCAATCGATTGCTGGAAAACATTTGTATGTGTCAATGCGCTAAATGTATGTGATAACGTTTCAAATACTCTAAAAGGATTGTCTTTGAATCAATTTACTCTTTCTTTCTACCGATTCTGAATTACGCATGAATACGAATGGACAGCACTGGTCGTGTAATAAAATACAGTGGTCTTATATTGTGAATACTGAATGGTAATGCTAAAGACGATTATATTCTCTGTTTGAAATGTTGAATTTGAAGTTGGTTGTAAATGAAAGTAAAATAAACTGTATTTGCCAACTTAACTGAACCGAACATGTACCCAATCACAACAAAAGATGACAATGTTCGTTAATGGAAAGGTTCGCGAACTCTGCTTACAAAACTGCTGAATCCAATGAATAATTGAATGTATCTTGTATGCAGGAGTTTATCAATATGTTTCCTCGGCAGGTACTCCCACATGTCGGTGCTGGTAGACCAGGTGTTCCCGCCGGCGCAGTGCGAGCCCAGCGACGAGTTCTCGCAGACCGTGTTCTGGCGAGAGCCCCTCCTCGAGATCGAGTTGCCTCCCATATCCCCACCGCTACTCAAACACCATTAATCAAATGATTACGTACTTTCTATGTAAACTTTTTCAACTATATCGCTTCTTGTATTCCTACTTTGAACATAAGATTGAAAAATATCAATGTGCCTAACTCGGCTTGGCTTATTCCACACTTAAATGGAAGGCAAGCAGTTGAGACTTGGTTATTCCATTATTTAACTAGAGTTTCAATATGTAGACTGCTTAATGATTGTTTCATTTGGGCTGCTTTAGATTTAGGATGTTTAGTTTCATATGCCGTTAGTTACAATATATAGACTTAATGAATATGTAGTGAATACCAAAAAACAATTATGAAATGCTTATCTTGTAGTATCTCGTGTGTGTTACGTAAGTTTGATTGTTGTACTGTGATGTGTCTAGCGGAATATTATTTTGGAAATGTCTTTACTTTTTGCAGTAATGTATGACTTTACTAGGGTGAAATATTATTTACAATTTATTCTCTGCGAAGACTGTGTATACAAGTTGGTAAATGGTTTGCAGATTTAGGTTACAAAGGAATCAAGTTAAGTTTTGGTTTCGTCGATTATGTAAGCTGTGATGTCGTCGACTGATAACGATGCTTTATTTTTATACTGTGATTACCTATTCGTACGTGCTAAGTTATATTTGTGTTAAAGCAATACACATTCGTATAATGCAGAGGCTTAGCTTCTGATAGATTTATTATATTCTTTGTAATCAACGCCACTTTTGATTTTGAAGCATTGATTTGTAATAGTTAATATTATGTCGAATTAGAATTTGGTATATTTTTTAAAATAATTTATTGTTGTTTCTGTGATTGTTTCAATAAATATTTTCAGAAATAACTAAATATTGTTTTGATTGTAATTAGTTGTTTGTGCCAATTATTTCTAGGTTTATATCAGCAGTACTTTATCGCCACGCCCACGTGGTAATCAGATTCACGTGCGTGAAGATCACAGGTACATGAACCCAGCACATGGGGAACACGTGGAGTCTGTAATCTTTGTCTGTTGTCGGTCAACATTAGGAATTAAGATACGGCGGCGGCCTGCAACCTTAATACCTCACGCCACTTTATATCAAAGTAGCGTATCTGTCAGTCTGTGATTATAGGTCAACAGATTACGTTAGTGCTTATATATGTAAATAAATAGTTTAAATTGTGGTTATCTCGACAGAGCTTTTGTATTAGCGCCCAAAATACTAAAAAGAAAAATAATCTATACTAATATTATAAAGCTGAAAGTGTTTTTTTTTGTTTGTTTGAACGCGCTATCTCCGAAACTACTGATTCGAATTGAATAATTCTTTTTGTGTTGGATATTTCATTTATCGAGGAAAGCTATAAAACATCTCGTTACGACCAATAGGACCCGAGCAGAGCGGGTGAAACACCACGCAAGTAGCTAGTGATAATATAAGTACCTAATGCCTACTCAAGGGGGACGAATTGCATATTGTTACGTTTAAAAAGTAATCGAAACGAGTACGCGTTCGGCGTTTTGACCGGCTCAAGTAAACCTACCAATCAGTTAACTCGCTCGATACTGTTACGATACGAATGCGATAGTTATTCGTGCTTGGCACTCTGATTGAAACAAACACGTGCAAAACCCTCGGATTGATTCTTGTAATATTAAGAACACTACAGTTGCAAGGGGAAGGGTATTTTAAATATAAGTTGAATCCAAAGAACTCTGAAGTTCATCGCACACCCTGACAAGCACGGGTCCGGCGCGGCATTATATGCTTTAGAAACAATAGAAAAGCCGTGCCTTTTTGATAAGAATTGCGATTAGAGAAAGAAAATAATCACAGTTTCGCTACAAAGGGGTAGGCAGTTATATCCCATGTCCCGTATAATAATATTGCCACTATATTCGTAATTAGAATACCCAAGGATACCTATATGTATTAACTTCATTCCAGTATCTCCATTATTAATTCAGTCAATATTTTTTTTTTAATAATAACCGTAAACCTGGCATGGTTTGGTATGTACCTGAACATAAGAAGCGAAATAAGAGTGAATTAATTATAAACACTGAGCGCATTTCCAATTCTCTAGCTGTTATTAAATTCGAAAGATTTTAATGTAAGACAAAAATCGAAAACGGGTGTTTAAGTCTGTAACCTTTCCCTACATTTACTTCTGTAACCACTTGGAAAAAAGTTAATATCATTCAAGAACCCGGCTTCTGCCATAGAAAACATGAAAGAAACTAGAAACCTTGTGTACAACAAAATATATTTCTTAAAATATTTCTAACACTATGTTTCATCTGCTTCCATGGCATCTTCTTCTGCATTGTCATCATCATTGTCACCTTCATCATCACTAGGTATGTCCAGGTCCTTATGGAAACCCTTCCCTTTAGTCCAGTGGCACTTTATAACCACTTTAAAGTCTGCCATTTGTATTCCTAATAGCTTCAATATACTTGCTTGTTCTGGTGTTAGAGGTACTCCTTTTTTGCAAACCTGAAATTTGAATCATTTCACATTATTCATCCATACATGTTACAGAGATGTAACTAGACATTAATGAGTAGTAATAATTTATGATAATTGATACACATTTACAGCCACCTTTTGACAGCCGCGGTGGGCTAAGCCAACAAAGGAAATGTACTTAAAAATCATGATTTCTTGTCAGTTGTGGCACTGTGCCAGATCATGTTATATTTTGTTTGTCTGCTATAGCCAACCGTGCATTTAAAAGGTTAATATAACATACTGGCCTTTGATCCCCAAAGGAATAGTCAGAAATACCCTTATGTAATTGTTGTAAATTAAATTAATAATCATATACCTGATATTCCTTAATAACATTTATGACACCTCTTTCTAACGACGTGGGGAGACCAAGTTTTCTTAGATGAGGCTCCATTGTGTGTGAGAAGTCAGGCAGCGGCCCTACTGGCAGTATTACATCTTTAGTGGCTACAAATCCTGCTCGGGCATACTCTGCATCACTGAAGCTTTTGAACCATTGTAATACTTCAGGCACATCTTTGTTTGTCATTAGAAGCCCACACTGTCCTTTTAATCGTTTTGATAACTGCAATGTAATGTTACAATATATTGTTTGTTATTCTCATACATAATATGGTGCAACAAAGTTTTTTACTTATAAATATTTTTTTATAACATTTATTTAAAGAAATTGAGATTAGAATATACTTACGAGGTTCAACTGGTCTTCTACTTCATCACTTTTCGATCTTCCAAGTGCTACAGCCATTACTTTATTTTTACCAAAAAAGAATCTTGAGTCTTTCCATTCATTGCGCAAGTCTTTTAATTTTGTGTTGCGCATGTTGTCAACAGTGAACAAAAATATGTGCTCATATTTAGAAAGTGAATTCCTAATTTCTTCTACAATCTTCTGTTTATGCACTAAACCTTTTTTGTTTGTTTTTGTCAAAGACACTAAAATAGAGAAAAGAATGTAATTACATTTAAATTACTAATAAATACCGCTCTCATGATATCAATAAGATAACATTTAAGTATCCTTCTGATGGCTTGCACTCCATTACAAAAGCTCAAAATAACGAAATAAGCAAGCATGGTTGGAGCATTTCATATAAAAATTATTTAAATACCTTTCTTATCCCTTTTTGATTTCGGCATTGTATTACTTAATTATATACTGCACTGTTACGTTCAATATCTATAAACTGGCGTAAATCTTCTTTTGTTCAATAACTATAAACTGGCGTAAATCTTTTTTGTATAGAGAAAATTAAAGTATGAGGTTTAATACCACTAAACTTAACCTCTAAAAACACAACAACGTGACATTTGACAACGTCAATATTAAATGACAATTAGAACAACTGACGGATAAAGTTAACGTTTGAAAGCATTTTTATTATTATTACTTTTTTATGGTGTGTAAATATTTTAGTTTTAAGTTAGTTATATTTTAAGTTGTATATATTTATTTATTCAATTAACTTGAATACAATAAACTCCAAAAAAATTAATAACAAAATTTGCTAGTGTGAATCATACATTATGTCTAACCATTTTTTTTTTTTTTTTTTTTTTTTATGGGGGGAAATCCTCATGGACTGCCTCCGCCTGGGGAAAGGCGGAGGGGTGTGCCGGACTCTTACCGGCTAAAACCACCCCAGTGTCTCCTCACACGTGCGTGCGGGGCCACGGGAGTCCAAATTCATCCGCAGCCCCGCATTACAGTGCCGGCCCGTATGTCAGGGCCCCGTCACACATTATGTCTAACCATGGTCTAACCTAACACTTTGACATTAACCGGTAAATAGAAAACGAAATAATCTAACACATAGACTATAGACTGTTCAAACAATTTAGTCGATTATTATTGAATCGAGCAAAGAAAATGTAATCACTAATGTATAAATAAATAAATAAAATAATGATATTGAATAGAGATCATCCAATAAATATGAAACAATAATATAATCTCCATGTGGGTAAATAATCAAAACACCCCACAAATAACCCAGTCAAAGCCCTACCAGACATAACCAGCTGACCATAACAAACATCGTTTCTATTCTAAGTATCTACTCCACGCTACCCAGCCTATTTGGAATACATTAATTGGGAATAGTGAACAATATCCAAAGTTGGTCCAAGGATACAAAGTGGATACAACAATCATTGTAATACCTCTCGAAACTTAAAAAAAATTCTTAAGAACTTTAAATTGCAGATAATATTTTATGTAACAATAATACTGTGTTACAAAATAGATTGATATAAATAAATGCCCATTGGCGTCATCGTAATAGAAAGTCCTAAACATAAGACCCTCATGATTACATTTAAAAAAAACCGCCAAAACACTGACTTCCTGTTACTATCGAACGTGACCTACTATGTTGTATTCCTACGTTCAAAATTGTACTTATCTCTGTCATTTCGCATACTTTAGAAAGAGCGCGCGATACATCCAAAATGCTCTACGTCAATGTGAATACCAAGCATCGTGCTCCGCTTCTTTCAAAGAAATTCAAGATGGCCGACTCGTAATGTGAACCCTGTTCCGTTTTTGTTTCCCCTCTGGCCCCGCTGCCGTCAGTGTAGTATATCGTTCACCGCAAGACAAAAACCGATATTGTGTTGTAATTCACTGGTTTTATTACTTTTTTTCCCTTCCAACAAGTAAGTGTATTAAAATTATATTAAGTGAATGCAATTTTACGTGTTTTTCACGAAGTGTATTTGTTAAAAAGTCGTTTTCTCACAAATCTGTGTCTGTGACGCATAGAAGGAGTGCCCCCTTACTTGCAGCAGCCATTTTGCTCGAGCCGGCGACACGATTTCGCGGTGCGGTTAGATTAATTCTAAATTTTTGTAATCGGGATTTATGTTTTTCCTAAAGTATTTATTTTTATTCGTTGCGTTGTAGTATAGTACATTTGGTGGATTAAGACGTTTCTCGTAACAAGGTTCACCGCGTAAGTTGGTTTTTACTTCTTTTAACATTTCTTCATACGTGACGAAATATATTTTTGGATTAATGTTCAGAATCTGGGAGATTGATTGTGATATGATGCTGTGATATGTATTTCATACTATACGATAATTGATTTAGTTGCGTTCGAAGTGCGTGGGCATGCCGAACGTTGGCGTATTCGTAGAGGGAACCAGCGATCACACTAGTGCGTCGTAATTTCGCCGTGCGTAGTCATGCCGTTATCTTGGTCAATTCAATAACTATGTAATGTCATTGAAGGTAGCTCCAATACGCATTTAAAGGTAATTACAGCCTACTAATGGTGGTAATCGGTGATGAAATTCTTTTCACCACGTCTTCTGAGTGATAATATTTGAAATTACGTTGTGTAACTTGTTTGAGGTTGTAATTAGGTGGGTAAGTGAGCATTTGTTCTAACGTCGGTTATAATGTCATTACCTTCGATTTACTTACATCGCTTTTTAGATAGGCACGTGCTTGACATTGAGTCGACAGCACAATGCTCTCGTATGAGTGATACTAGATATATTGTAGGCTATTATTACAAGGCTTATGTTAATCACTAAGTTAATAGTTTTCCTCGTTCTCAGTAGATGATACTTATATTTATATCTGTTTTCAGGACTTGAGTTTTCTTCTTAGGTACTAGGTGTAGCTTTTGTTCAAATCTTATTGTTCTCAATGGTGCTGTAGGTTTCTCTTTGTCATATCATGTTAAAGAATAGTGTTAATGAATATAATATGTTAGTGATCGTTCTAGTCTGTAGGTAGATACTCAAATAGAACTTAACCCTATGTAAGTTCATTTTTTGGCTAGAATTTGAAATAACTTGGCATCTTAATGACAGTAATTGAGGTTTATTATATGGAATTAATGCGTAGATGTTCATTCTTCTGTTAATTCACAATGCCAATTCTAAATTTGTACTACGTTACTGCTATTTCAAATGTATCTACGATAAGATGTCACTTGTAACTGCCATATTTGTCATGACACATTGCCCTTCAAAGATTGACATCATGCTCGGTAGTGTGTGATACATTACCTATCTTTCATAAACTAATTGTAAATGTAAAACTAACTTATTTTTATTTTTTAAGTTACTTGGTTTCCAAGTAACTTAAAGATATGTGTAATATGCAACTGATTGGGGTATTCTTCAATTAGCTGTATAATTTGGACCTAAAGGGACTTAATACAGTGTTGACATTTTCTTTATTCAGTCTTATTCTTATAAAAATAACTTTACACAAGAATTTATTATTTCATCAACCATTGGCAAATATATGAAAATTGTGCCTAGAGTTTGGAGGTAGAGGGTATGGGAGGCATTTCAGGGGTCATGACCCCACCCCCTCTTTATCTTAATACAACTTATTCGTTGTACACTGCGTTATCACAAATAAAGAATTATAGGTACATGAAATGATTATTGTATTTTAGTTTTGGTTATTAGCTTGGGAACTCAGAAATTTAAATTAAAAGAAAGGAATTTGATGAATATTGTAAAAACCATTAGAAATACTGTTTAATGTAATAGGCACCCAGTCACTTGTTTCAGATTTGTTTTTAATAAATCATATTTGATCATAAATATTTATGATACCGAAACTGTTTTTTTATATTTGCACTCATAATAAGGTCTTTTATTTGTTTTATAAACATTCCTTTAATACTAGCAAAAGTTTGGTAAAAATAACACGAATCGTACGAAAAATTAGCATAACACATTTCAGCATAGTAACTGAGGATTCTCGTAAAACGCTATAGGTAGATAGATAAGGGTAGCGTGATGTAGGCGCCGGGCGGACGGGCGCGGTGCACGAGGGGCGTATGCGAGGGTGAGGGGTGTGTGCAATCGTCGCGCTAGTCGTATTTCGTCTGGAGTGTTTATCCCGCGTCGCCGGATCAATACCGTTGGCGCAGTGGCGGTGACCAAGCGGCGGCGCGGCGACACGGCGCGTGCCTAGCCAGTGGTAGCTCGAGTCTGTGAGATGCTGTCAAACCGAGCGGACGCCGCGTCGATGTCGCGTTTGGCGTGAGAGGTGCTCTTTGAGCTTCGTTGAATTTTCATATAGCGCTAGAGCGCCCGCGAGCCTCTACCTAAGGTGCGACTTCCATTCATTCATGATGACAAATACCCTATAAGCGATTCGCTTCGGTGAAAGTGACGCCCAAACGATTAGTCTTTCTGATTTTTAACTTACGGTGAATCGTCCATTACTTGTCGATTCAATTAGTTTATTCGTGATTCATCCTTAATTGCAGGGGCATCAGTGAAATAATCCTCTCCCATCGTCCACGATGTCCGTCGACAAGGAGGAACTGGTGCAACGCGCCAAGCTGGCGGAGCAGGCTGAACGATATGACGACATGGCGGCCGCGATGAAGGAAGTCACGGAAACCGGCGTCGAGCTGAGCAATGAGGAAAGGAACCTGCTTTCCGTTGCTTACAAAAACGTGGTGGGCGCTCGACGATCGTCATGGCGTGTCATTTCCTCCATTGAACAGAAAACCGAAGGCTCGGAAAGAAAACAACAGATGGCAAAAGAATATAGGGTTAAAGTAGAAAAGGAGCTCAGAGAAATCTGCTACGATGTTTTGGTAAGTCGTAAATTTTTACATTGAATTTTTCAGGATTATTAATTTCGAGATTTTCTGATTTTAATATACACGGTTATGAAGAACCTTGATAACTGACTATCCGATGGTTGAATTTATTCCAAACTAAGTAAGATTAACGTCAGTTGCCGCCATCCTACGCGAGTGACGTCATATTTGTGCCTCGCCAATTTGAGGGGTGATGCAAGCGAACAGTAGCCGTGGTCATTTCCTCCGCAGTCATAACGTTTTTGTTAATCATGGGCGTTATAATGTTGGGTAGCACGTGAGAGCATGCAGGGCGCGGTGCGGAGTTTTCGCGGGCGGGGAGGGTGGGGTGACGTATTGCGCCGCGTCATTGCGCGCGCTGCTATCCCGTTTTCGTTCGTTGCCCTGTCTTCAGATCCTACGTATTCTGGAATACAAATAATTAATTATGTTTATTTAAAACCAGTTATTTTATTATCCTTATTCAAATAGGTTACATGTAATGGAGATTTAACTATTTTTCTTTTTGTTTCAGGGTTTACTTGACAAGCACCTTATTCCTAAAGCTAGTAATCCAGAAAGTAAAGTATTTTACCTTAAAATGAAGGGTGACTACTATAGGTACCTTGCAGAAGTGGCCACAGGAGAAACCAGAAATTGTAAGTATTATTCCTAATAGGTATTCAATCTTTAACTATGAATTGGTCTTCAATCTAGTTAATAGGTTTGATCTACTAGTTTAATTATGCAATGGTTCAGTAAGTTAACATCAATTTACATTACAGCTGTTGTAGAGGATTCACAGAAAGCATACCAAGACGCTTTCGAGATCAGCAAGGCGAAAATGCAGCCCACACACCCAATAAGGCTGGGTCTGGCGTTAAATTTCTCCGTCTTCTATTATGAGATATTAAATTCACCAGACAAAGCGTGTCAGCTCGCCAAACAGGTCATTATTAGTGTCAGTTACGCATAGGCTCTGTGCTGGCTGGCACGAGAGGGAAGTACAGGCTAGGCATATTAATTTACTCGCTTGTCCCCAGCCGTCGTGGAGGACTCGCAGAAGGCCTACCAAGAAGCATTCGACATTGCTAAAGCCAAAATGCAACCGACCCACCCCATCAGACTCGGCCTTGCGCTCAACTTTTCCGTGTTCTATTACGAGATAATCAACTCCCCTGCGCGAGCGTGCCACTTAGCTAAACAGGTTTTTTAATGAAAAGAGAAAATTAGTGTGATGACACATTATATTGTTCATAATTTTACTAACTGTCAAGATTCTTGCAAGTAGTGCATTCTCCTTGATCAGTTTGCATGAACATAAAAGTACTTCAAAATTAAAGAAATAATCATCCAGATACAATACAACACTAATAAAAATGTATTAGCATGGCCGTGTGTACAGCAATTAACCCTTAATCCTCGATCCAGCCAGCATCAGAGTGTATTTTTATTTAAGTTTTCCCAACAATGAAATGAAATTATATATTTTAGTTTCTTAATTTTGATGTATAGATATATATTTTTTATTGACTGATTGTAATTAATATTGATTATTGATTTTTCAGGCGTTCGATGATGCGATCGCCGAATTAGACACACTGAATGAAGACTCGTACAAAGACTCGACACTGATCATGCAGTTGCTGCGAGACAATCTGACGCTGTGGACGTCAGACACGCAGGGCGATGGCGACGAGCCCGCCGAGGGCGGCGACAACTAATCTCGCGCCGCGCTCACTCCCAGCACACGCATTTGTTCTCATTGGTGTTTTATAAGAAAACGAGTAACATTCGAGAACGCCGCGCGGCGCGGGTCCTCCGCCGCTGATGCGAGCCGTCGCTTGTAAAAAAATGTTAAAAATGTCGTTCGCAGCGGACCTTCACGTTCCGTCTAAAATTAAATGTTATGTGTCATCTTTGACGGTTTTGTATTTCTGTATTTACACTGGATTACAGATATCGAGCTGACCCGATGAATATAAATATTTATAACTTAAGTTATTAAAATTACGGTTTCTTAAGTTAAAAGTGTTTTCCTTTCTATATTTAGAATAAAACTTAACAGCCTGGTCGGCCCCAAATTAACATTCCTTTCGCCGCATGTCCGCAGTGAAAAGGAGATCATGATGGTGAATATTGTTTTAAAATTATGCTATTCGTTATTAAAATTTGTTGAAGTGCGCCCATAACTGACCCTATGAAATTAGATTTTACATAAAGTGAAATTAAACCACCTGTATAATAATGGCTGTATCAATTTAATTAGGGCACAAAAAACTTGTTAGTGTCTTTCGTGGTTTTTGTGATGTCCTCTAACATTTTATTATTACCAAAGGAAGTCTTTAATTGTTGACATTAACCATTTTGTTGTGCCCAATCAGTGATTATAATAGCATTCTGAATTTTCAGGCATTTATTAGCAAGATAGTTTTTGTGATGGCCAATATTGTAACATTTCTCTGCTGCATTTTATCAGCCATTAATCTATTATATTTTTCATGTTTTCACCAATAAACTTTTGTATTAAATACAATTTTTAGTTTTAGACCAATATTTAAATAAACCGCCACCTAATACCCCAAACGATGTTTGTCTAAAATTATTCAATAGGCCCTTTTAATAATAAAAAGGGTAAACATAATTATAATGAAGGTCGAAGGTAGCAAGCGCAGCCTTAGCGGCAAATTGGAGCTACAAAGCCTTGGCCCGTTTACCGATACACAAGGGCGAGGCCAAGAAATTATATTGGGTCGATATTTTATAGCCAAGACATTGGCTATCAAGTGACTTAGTCTTTATCGGGTTAGTTTCAACATTACCCTTCAGATAGTTGCATTTGTCCTGTGTTCCACATATCAAAACTAATGGACTTAGTTTAGAAGTGGCTAAAGTTACACTTTTAATACCTACCATTACCATTACTTATACTTGTGCATAATGGTACGATGAAATTAGATATATTCGCAAGAACAATAAAATAAGTAGGTAACTACCTACGTTGTTACTTGCAAGGGGAATATAAAATATATGTTCTCGTCAAAACAAGCCAATATTCAAAAAGGGTACCTACAAATTTTCTCTTCAATGCGTACCTACCTATGGGTAATCTATTATAGTTATAGAAAACTATTTATGTACATTAGGTAGGAATGTCAGGAACGTGCTAAGTATCGACCACAGAGTATTATGTAGGTACGAACCAATATTATTCAAGTACCTAATACGTAGGAACTAAGTACCTACAGTACAGCGTTACTTCTACCAACTACGGTGCGAAAAGAAATTATTTTTCCAATTTAGTTTTTTTACAATAACTTGAGCAACACGTTTCAAGCCATAAATGAAATGGCTATCTAGGTCGTAATATATTTTTCCTACAAAAGGCGAAATACCCTAATTAGGATACCAAGCACTTGTTAACTTTTTAATTTGTATTATTATCACTTTGTATGCAAAATGAAAAAAAAACAAAGTACCTACCTACTCACTATATCTCACAGTGCTAAGAGGATGTAAGGTAGATACGAAGATATTGTAGGTATGAAAAGATATCTATTCCTTTTTTTCTCGAAGATTTTAAGATATACCTTCTCCCTCCGAGTTGAGACGTGAGAGTGTCAGACTCTTATTGACTATAAAACAACCCCGTTCCTACTTCTGCACTTCGAGCCGGAGCCCCGGCAACCCATTAAGTCATGCGCGGCTCTGTATCGGCATCAGCCCTATTGGGCCCCATTTGTGGTGGTCTAATAGTTCCTTGAGGCGCGCGCGGGCCTGGTTCTGGTCGAGTGGCGAGTAACCCGTGCTTACGGTGGCCCGAGATCGTCTCGCGATCCCCTCGCTCCGTACCATGGTCTGAACCAGAGCCGGACGCGAGATGTCGTCGCCGATCACATTCCTAAGGACACGGCGGTGCTCAGCCCACGCAGGACACACCGCCACCGTATGCTCCACCATGTCCTCCGGGCGATCGTCGCAGTGATGACACCCGGGCGTTTCCTCCCGCCCAATCTGAAACAGGAACCTATCGAAACTTCCGTGTCCGGTAAGCACCTGCGTCAGGCGGTAGGTAAGGACGCAGTAGCGTCTCTCAAGCCACTCCTCAAAGAGGAGACTTACCGCTGCAATGACAGCGAGCCCAGCCCTCGGTTGCGACAGTCGTTTCTGCCATTCCGCCATGAGATCGCGCCGGAGCTCATCCCGCCACCAGATCCCACGGCTGTAATCCGGCAAGGAGGTTCGCAGCCTCCCCGGAGATCGTGCTATATCCGCGAATCAGTCCGATGACCTTCTGAGATGTGAGCAGTGCCCTAGCGGGCCGCTGCATCAAATTCGGCGCCTACACAATGGCACCGTAGAGGGCCATGGACCGCACGACCCCCGCATACAACCTTCGGCAGGAGGCGATTGGCCCCCCGAGGTTGGGTAGGAGGCGCTTAAGCGCCGCCCCCATCCGTTCCAACTTAGGAGCCAAACGTCGAAAGTGCTCCACGAAGTTCTACTGACTGTTGAGGACGAGTCCTACGTACCTCATTGTCGTCTCGACGCCGATGGTAACCCCTCTTGCCGTTATTTGGGACTCACCCGGAGGTGGCGCGTTCCCGCGGCCATGAAAACACATGGCCTCGGACTTGTGGAGCGCCACCTCGAGTCCAAGTTGCCAGATCCTTTCAACGACTGTCGTAATCGCTCTCGCTAGCCGGCGCCTGATGGGAGCTCCCGTGTGATTGCACCAGTGTGTCGTCAGCGTAACAGACCACGCTGACGTTGTTCGGGAGGTCGGTGCGCAGCATCCAGTCATAGCCGAATAAATTATATACTAGCTTTTACCCGCGGCTTCGCTCGCGTCACAAAAGGATAAAAGTAGCCTATACCAATACACACAGTGCCATCTATACCAATTCTTTTGTTTTCCCTCGGGAATACCAAAATTTTCCGGGATAAAAAGTACTCTATTATTTAATTCGGACTTCTAATTTTACATCTGCAAAAATTCAAAGCAATCGGTTTAGAAGTTACGGCGTGAAAGCGGAACAAACAAACAAACTCACTTTCCCATTTATAATAGTAAGGAAAGGATAAGGATTATTAAGATATACGTATCTAAGTGTTTCGGTGGATGTTATATTACTTTGCGAAGTAGAGGAGTACTTCGATGCATGTGGTTAGGTAGTATTTTGTAGATGTGAGTTTTAATGTCTTTGGTACCTATAACTTGACTTATCTACGATCGAAATTTCAAACATTTTATTCAGAAAGTTTTTAACAACAATTTGGAACAACAATTTGTGAATCGCACAAAGAGTTAGGTACTCTGTGCGGGAATCCAACCCGCGACAACCCCGGTTGCCCAGTCACCGCACAAACTGTGCCGTCTTGGGTAGTAGGTACCTACATACTTAAACACTTAACCGGTTACTGGCAGTAGGTATCAGATTTTAAAGTCGGTTAATGCTATGTGTAATTGTAATTGTTTACCTACTTTTTGGAAATCTTTTGCCAAGGCAAGTGCTAACACTTGACCGATTCTTGACTTTATATAATGAGGCTAAAAAAACGTATATCCAGGAGTCATAAGAGTTCCTATTTTTTCTGAATGGCCAGTGTGCAGTGTGTAGTAGTAGGAAGGTGCATCCAATCAGGAAGGTACAGTCTGGGGTACGCAATCAAAATATACAATCATTATTATGTTTTAAGCAGATAAATGTAACGTCTGGGAACAGAATAAACCCTCAACTACAGAACCTTCAGATTACACTTAGGCTTATTAGAGCAATGGGTGACGAAAGAAATTCATTGGTAAAATCAATAAAGCCATGGCCCACAAACTGGCTAGTAGTGGCTATATACCTAGTTAGTGTTTGTTGCATGACATCACCCTGGTCTAGCTAGAGGGTGGTACAAGGGGAGTGAGACAAACCCACCCCATTCTCCCCCAGAGTTGCGCATATTTGCGGAGTGCATTACATTGTCTAGCCACTACATAGAGTAGCCTTCAAATAGAGTAGGTAGGCACTTATTCAGGTACCTACTGTAGCGATTGTGCGCAGTCTCAATCAACGTTCTTCCAATCGCAGTCAAGCCGATATCTAATTGTGAAATAATGCAATAAGGTATAAACGGGTACGTTAAATTAAAGTATGGATATAGTTAGATATTTATTGAATAACTACCAATTTACCAACGTTAGTTTATAAGGTACCTAAATATAAATGGTAAAAACAAAACCCTATTACAATTATTACAAAACTCCACTGTCCATCTGTCTGTCACATGGTTGTAAGAGAGTAGATACCTACCTCATAAACTGCTAGCTAGACTTGAATATTTTACATTTTACCCATAATTGAGATTTATCATATAATATTTAAAACTTTATTAGGTACTTACTTAAGTAGGTATATATGCTTCGTGATAGTAAAACATGTGTAAGTAGGTACTACTATGTTAATTGAATTATGTAAGCTCTACCTACTGGTTTCAAAGCAGATTGGGACTTTTATTCATTCATGAGCAGCAATCCGCGGCGCGGCATGCACTGTTAGTAGAAGTACAGCTTTTCTTATTTTAACCCCAACTTTAAGTAGGTACTTTTGTTCTATGACTTTAAAATTCGTATGATTTGCCGGGTTCGTCAAAAAATTCACGCTAACTTTCAACTTGTCGCACGCCAAGTGTGGCCTTTAGGAGGTCTAGGTAGGTATATGGCTATTTTTTAAGGAGGGGAAATGATCGAATGACTTCTCCCACCTGTGTGAGGCGGGAGGGAGTGTCAGACTCTTACTGACTATAAATCATTCCGTTCCTACTCCTGCCCTTCGAGCCGGAGCCCGGGCAACCCGTAAGTCCTCTGCGGTTAGGTATATATAGGCATATTAAGTAGATATAAAGATTGAGCAGCAGGTAGGTATTAAAAAATAAAAACATTTTTTTATCAAAAATTTATTATAAAAAAACAGTAAAAATAGTGTTTCTTAATAAATCACTTCCTTAAATGATTCTAGCCGTACGAAAATATTTTTAAATGTGCAATTTTTATGAAATGCTTTACAAACTTGAATTTAATAATCATACTATCGTGTTGTGGTATAGTACTTTCCTATAGTAACTTCTTATAGTGGCTATCGTTTATTGAATAATCTAAAGCTAGGAATGGCACAGTGAGCAAAGCAGCCATTATAGGTATTTACGACTAATTGGTCTTGTCTTAATTTATATAAGCTAAGTATATTATTATTTACTTACAAGGAAATTACTTTAATATTTACATAAGTCTATTTTCCTTTAAGCATTGTGTATGACTACCGATCAGTATGTAAGTACTGGGTAAGTACTACTTGTCTAATTTTAGAAGAATTTCTATCCTTAAGTATTTACCCGCTATGTCACATCTGACGCTAGCTATATCCCTTTTACTCGTATTATACTCGCTGCATAGATTACCGTCGAGTTTGTTATGCTAATTCTTGGTCTCCCTAACTAAATACCACAACTTTTCACTTACATTTAAATGCATGCAACCTTGCTTAAATGCTACATTGGTACATTGTACACTAGTCTTTAGAGATATCACCTCTTTTTAGTTATTGTATAACTTTGGAAAATGTTAAATAACTTTAGTTTTTTTTTATTAGCCTTAGCTAGACGTTGTCTGTACTTGTATACGATCCGAAAGAAAACGATTTCCTCACACGCGGTATTAAAGCTATGCTCAACAGTGGACGAATCAAAGTTGAAATAATAAACGTGCTGCTGGTTGCTACATTCACAACAGTCATGTCATTGTTAGGAGCCAACGAAGTCTCATTAGCTAGTATTGACTTGGAATAAATATTATAGGCGGTGACAAAAGACCGAGGAGTACATAAAACAATGTAAATCACTATTAGCCACAGCGACAACTTCAGTGCAGCAGTGGATTCAAAGCTTTCAATCTGAGATAGTATTTTCTTTATCTTCAACTTAATAATGACTAAAACACCAGCGATGCTCATAATAAACAGAGGTAGGAACAAATTTAATAGAGCAAGGATAGAGTACATATGCAGACGTTGACTGTTGTCCACAATAGTGCACAGTACAATGCTTTCACCCTGGTGCACTGTAGTTGCTAAAATATATTCGGGAACACTTAACGATATAGCCAGCACCCACACAAACACTGACGGTTGTGCCACTGAGATTCGACGATCAGTCAGCCGATAGTCCAGGTTCATAGTTCTCGGCGGAGTTGAGGAGTCACTGCTTGTCACTAAACTATGGCGTGAAGATCTTATTTCTTCGTCTTCATCCTGTGCGTTACGTTTGTTTCGTTTAGCGACAGCTTTTTCTTCTACATTTATCGTGGCAAGCGAATGTAGCGCAATAGTAGCTACCAAGTAGGATGATACAGTTGATGCAAAAACGTTCAGTCCTCGATAGGCCACACAGCTGTGTTGACCAAAAGGCCACGATCTGGCATTGTAAGACCATAACTCGGGTCCTACTGTTGCTCCAAGTATGAGATCAGCCAGAGCTAATTGTAAAATGATGGTGAGTAAACCTGAAAAAAAAACATACCAAATGTTTAATATATTATATCTGGCTAACAATAAAACAGGCCAAGAGAGAGTCCAATACAAACAAGTCAATTAGTGTACAAGGCTTGTCAATGGGCCTACTTAACAGAATGAACTCTCGGCAAAGTTAATCTTTGTGCTTTCAATGTGATGTGAACACATTCGCAACTAACTGTAAATAAGGATCATATTGGTTGTGTGTCCATTTAAAACTGAAGTTTGCTTTTGAGAGCTGAGAAACTTTTTATTTTGTCTCAGAGTTATTCGGAAATATGTTTATGTACCACCTAATGAAACTGCAAATTACAGAAACTGACCTTTATCTTAAAGAGAATTCTTAGTGAAATTAAAACAGAACACTATAGCATGGATTTATCTCAAAGCTAATATCAAACAAGTTTTTGTTTACCACTCCTAGATGTTTTGAAGAGGGCGGCTATCACGGAGCAGTTGGCGAGAGCGGCAGCGCCAGCGACGCACGCAACGTACGCGGCGAGCGCGAGCGGCGGGAGGAGCGGCTCGGTCGGCTCGATCGTATGCGCGAGCTCCGACATGGCGTCGGCTGTCCGGGACTGTATCGGGATCAATGACTCGGGCCTCGCGGCCGCTGCGTCACCCGCGTTCTCCGCCGTCCCTCGATGTTTTTTTTCAGTAGTGATTCACCGCAGTCCGAACATGTGCACCACACGAGGGCGCGCGAAAATGCTAACGATTCGAGGTATTTATTGTTGCTACTTTGACAAACGACGAAGCACAATTACTTATTAAAGTTATCTAAGAACAGAGCAACGCCTCAAGTATGTATGCTGTTCTTGCCTACCAAGTGTGCAAATAACGTAATAAAAGGGCTATGAACGCGTGCTGTAAGTTCATTATTATTCTGCGTTCGCAAACAACTACCGGCGCGCGGCGGCGCCCGCATCGAGGAGTCACCGAGTCGCTAATTCCGAGCATTGAGCTCAAATTTATTCTTGGCCTAATAAATTATTAAGTATTACTAAAACTTAATTCCATATGATATCCAAATAAGTAACGAATAAATAGAGCCTTATGTACAAAACTAAGACTAATCAGAACACGTCAACTTCTTGGCTGTGTTTTAAGTATACAGTCTGTTTACTAGTTAGCGGTTAACAATGATAAGCAAAGGAAATTGCACTCTGAGAAAAATATTTATGATTTAGCTGTTTAATCCAAACTCTATCTAAATCTTAGTTCCAAAAATGTCTATATGTGTAATGTTTACTATCAATCAGAAATTGGCATGTACTACTTTCACAGTTACATTATTGGTGACACCTACATGCAAGGGGCGGTAAGCAGTGTTCATGTCATTTTAGTGTCGTACAAGCTCACGAACCAATAAACCGCCTTAATTAAAAATAGATTATTAAGATAGCTATATCGTAATATTATCAGTTCAGTATATGACCTGTTATATACTACAGATACAGACCAGTGAACTAACTATATGCACATTGCCAGAGAACCACCACAGTTTCAATTATGGTATTTACAAACTGTCAACTGTCTGATCTTCTACGAAGTACCTACGTAACTACTACGCTGGTTCTACGTGTAGACTACGCAGCGGCTACTTCGTGACTACGCAGCGCCTACGCCGTGACTACGCGGCCTTATATTATACTAATTTTATTAATTCCTTTAACAAATCTTTTACCTTTATATATGTACATATGTTTTGTGAATTACTTCTAAGGCTCTTAAGGAATTTTGGTTTAGTATCGCTTGCCTATTTAATAATTGAACGTAGGTGCAACCAACATTATGTTCTGTGGTTTAGACAAATATTTGCTTAGAGTGATGTGCAATCACTCTATCTATGTAGTAGTAAAGTATAGCCATACGGCATACATGAATGAACTCGTACTTCGATCAATAAACATCGTGACTCAGCTGTCACACGTCAGATAAAGAAAATGCGGGCTGTCTTATACATATCAAAGAAAGCATGATAAAATACTGAGAACTTGAGTTATGTGCCCTAAAAGTACAGGTCACACGAATTAAATTTAAGGTTCGTTCGTCTTAATTAGTGAATTGTTTTAACCGATATATTTAATATTTAGTAGAATAAGCTGTAACATTTGTAGTAGTTAGTGCGAGGGCGCGTAAAATCTCGAAGCGCACGCCTCGCTGACTGGCCGCGGCGGCAGGCGGCGGTGGTGTCCGCGTCCCTCACTCGATATTGTTCGTTTGTTTTGATTAGCGGAAGCCGATGACTGTCGGCGAGGTCGAGTGATGGATGACTCGCGACAATGCTCCTCAGGGGACGCGTGTGGGCGGTGCCTTCGCAGCCAAATTCTGCACTTTCCTTCGACTTTCTCTTGGAGGTGCGAAAGGTGTTCACTTCATTCGGGGGCTAGCAATGCTTATTCGGTAGCTGGCGCCTCATAAGTGTACGCGTTCTAATCGCGCGCAACGCCGGTCGGTCCCTCGCCTCGCACGGTGCATCGCGCGTGCTTCAGATATTCAAAGCACCTGCATGCGACTTCCGAGCACCGGCTTATAAGAAGTGCGCGGATTGTGAAGGAGTAACTTATCGTGTGGTGGCTGGACAGCAATGTAAGGCAGTGATGGCACTCACAAGTGACATAGTGTTAGTAACGCTGCTGTGCGTGGTTCGCGACGGTGCGCCTGCGCGGTTTCCCGTGAGTAAGCTCGCCGCGAGGGCGGGCGGCGCGTTCATCTCTTATTTATTGATTTATTACACTACACTACACCTGCTATTTATTCATTTTACATGATATGGACGCCTGAGGGTCATATACAGCGTATAAATAAAATAAAAACACGAAAAAGTAGAACTCGTGCGAAAAATTCAATATAAGAAATTCTGTGCTTTTTAGATTATGATTAGACAAATATTTTAAAAAACTCATAGTTTGTTAAAATATTGACGGTAAAAAGTAAAAAAAAAACAAAATTAGAGCATTTAAACTTTACAAAATGTTATACTGGATAAGTATTTCTGTGATGTTAATTCCACGAAAGCTCTCCGTAGTAAAACCAAGTAAAACAATATTGTTATGCTTAATATTAAATATCCAATACCATGTAAACAAATAATTTTCCAGTAACTTCAGACCGAACCCTACCTTAAACTAATTGACCGTAAGTTCAAACGTGCCATTACTTAGTTCCTGCTTAAAATAATTAACTAGTTACTATCCAGCAATCGTATTTAAAAATGTCACTATCTCATAGTTTTTAGGTGTTATTAATCCGTCATATTATATAGATGAAAGATTCTTTAAATATCAGTTAGGTTATCAATTAGACTGCTGAAAAACTACCAATAAACTCGTTTTCATCAAATTTCTACCCGACTTTTTGATATAGTAGAATTCAGACAGTAGTGACCTGTATCAATCGGTGCTCTATAAACCGGGAAGTAGTGTCTAAACCACGTGCTCAACAGCTAGCGTGTGTTGATGATGATGTGTTGTGAACGTGAAAAGAACACAATTGCAAAAAAAAAAAATTATAGTTTCACACTTGTATTTAATTAAAGATTACAATATTTTGACAGTTAAAATAGAATAGTTTTTGTTTCAAATAGACCTCACAAACGCAAACTTAGATACGTAAAATATTACTGTTTTTAAAAATAAATTATGTTTAGAAATAAACAAAGAGTGGTTCTCAATTTGTGAAAAGTGAGAAAAATTGTGAAATTACTTCTAAGTATTACTAGTATGTTAAGTACAATAATAAGTTTTAAAAATACATAAAACGCGTGTATTATTGTGTGTTTTGACCGGCTCACTGTGTAGCGTGCTTGACACGCTTTTGTTAGCTCACATTATTATCACTTTTTGTGATGTCTGAGTGTACTTACTTAGGGTCAAATTATCTCTTATTTGAGCTAGAAATCACGTGGACATAGCCATGCAATTTGTAGACAGGTAAAAGCTTTTAAAATTTTCTTTTGTGACCTAAATTCATGGCCTTACTCACAAGCGTTTTGCTACAAACGATAATTCACTTTATCAACGTAAATTGTAAATCATAGGAAAAATTTAAAATAAAATTGTGACTGTAATTCTCTAACGTATAAGGTAGAGTAGAGGAACAGAGTAACGCCCACAGTTTCCTGGTAAATATTGGATCAAATGATATATCGTAATGTAAAATATGAAAGGTTAAAATATTAGATCAAAGGTTAAAGTTTCGATGAAAATTCGGAAATACGCTTCAGACACAGGCGGAACAGCACCCACGCACTGGTTTTATCTTAAGGTTTACTCCGATCATTGCCAAGGACAAAATAAAGGCTACATTTGTGATAAAAAGTAATCGAATCCATTATTCCGATATCAGGCGGCTAATAAGATTTTTAAAGGGCTCGCAATACGGAGTTTCTTCTCGGATAAAATAACAATATCGGTTTCTTCGTAAATGTGATCTGAAGATCGCTCACCTCCGGGAAATATTACATACATATAAGAGGTAAAATCCGTAATATTAATACGAAGGCCTCGCTACATAGTCTTGATTTATATATATACGTATGTGCGAAGGCAGTAGGGACTGGATGGATCTGAAATTGATTAATGGAGTACAATTCTTCACGATGTGGCAGCAGGAAGCTCATATTTTAACACGACAGGATTTTTGTTTTTAAAATATCGCACCTATTTATCATATGGATGAATTGTATTACATAAGCATAGGATGTCACTATTACTCAATTACTCCTATCAAGAATAGGTAGGTACTTATAAATAGGTTACTTATTTGTAACCTATTTATAAGTACGATACGATTACGACGAGTCTAAAAATCGGGTACGATTTGTTTGAGTAGAATTTAGAATTCAAATAAATAGTTTTTATGAATAAATGTAAATGGACACAGATACAAAAATGTTTCTTGAGTGAGTAAAATAGATCTCACATGGTTAGGTGCCTGTACTAGGATAATCCTGTGTCACAGCCGAGAGTAGGTCTAACATAATTATAATTGTATTGTAATACAATCTTATTTCTATAAATATACATAATACTTGACATAATTTTGACAAAATCAAATATGACATTTAATATACATATATATCCTCACGCCTTATACTCCCGTAAGGGATAGGCAGAGGTGAAACAACTTACGAGTAACATGACAATTTAGTTTAGGTAAGGCAGGTTATTTATATCATGTAGAAAACCGTATCGTGTGGTTGAAGTCTATTTTGTAATTAAATAGGCATATTTCCTAAGAAGGCGTATAGATATGTAAACAGCTTTTAGTTTGTAAAGAATAAAGAAAGGGTTGGGCACACGTTTTGTAACTGTGTCTTGTGTACCCGTGAAACAGTATCCGTGCCGCTCGGTTACGCTACTTTTCAGCCCTCGATTATGTAACGTTACGTCAATAACGGGTTACCTACAATGCACATTTCCCGAAACTATTAAAACTTTCACCAAATTATGGTACATTAACAACGCCTTACGATACGATTTTATTTTGACAATTATGTTACGTAATAAAAATGCAGGTGTTTCACGTACTGGATCACGTACAAACGTTACACAACGCTAACGTCAACTAGAGTTTTTCAATCGCTCTCGATGAATCACAGCGTGCCTTCATTGTGGGCCGGCGACGAGACGTGCCCGCAGCCTCCGTGTAATTGAGATCGATACCAGTAACTTTCATCATTGCCACATACCGACGTAACACTCACAATTGAATGCCAAAATTAAAGTAATTACCGGCGCCTTTATACCCGGCCACTTATTCAAAGCCGCTAATAATTCTTCAGAAGCCGCATTGTCTGGCGTGGAAGAAAAGGAAAAACAAATAGTTTTACTTTCCCCTTTACTTCGCTCGCATCCGCTAATATTGAGCCTACACTTAGCTGACTCATGTGGACTTGATTTCGGTTTCACTGTTCTCCATCACTTTGACTGACATGTTAAAATTCATACAGCAAACTACAGTAACATTTGTGGTAACTACTTACAGTTTCATTGAGTCGCCGCCGCCTGTCAGCCTGCTATCATCAATCATTTGCACTACGAAAACAATGAAACCAGTCCAACACGTCGTATTCAACAAAAGCTTCTCTCTGATAACTTATCTTGTCGCGTCGTCTACACAAATATGTTCTTCGTTCAGGAACCAGGATCTAGATTCACAGTTGTTTTGTTTCACTCATATTCAAAACTTAAAACAAATGTGTAACTAATGATATTATAATGTGTCGAATAATTTCCGGCCGCGGGCAGTAAGTGTCAGCAAAATAATTAGCAACGATCTCCGGATCGTTGGCCCAGTTGGTGTGGAATGATGGATTGATATGTACTCGTATTATTGAAAATGAGACGCGTGATAAAGATTGATAATAACGTATGTGCTCGCTGAACTTGAACGAAGAATATTTCACTGGTAGACGCGACACCCATTTTAACGAGCTTTGGCATATTGTAATGGAGATTACTTAACAAGGCCAATAAAAGTGTAGTCTAGCTATTAATGAGAGCAATAAAAGTAGTGTGAGAACGTGTACCAGACGACATGTCCGTGACAATGGTCGCGCGCCCACCACTCGAGCTCCTTGTCGCATTGCCTTTTGACCTACATTATTCATAAATTTATCATCGCTTTGTCCGGATTATTTTGATGTTCCTGATACCCAGTTTGATTGCATTGTTGTAAAATGCGATCTAAATAGCAACTAAACTGAGTAATCTGTGAATGATTGGTAGCTCCGATGGTTCAGGCAGCTGGGACCTAGTTTATTATACAAATTAATGCGTCAATTCTATCTTTGATATTAATTTTTATCACAATGGTCATTGGGTGACATTAATTTAATTAACTTGGTGTTAGTTTCACTTTTTGATTATATTGTTATTACCCGCTTGATTTTCTTTAATATAAATCAGTCAATCAATTGTCAGCTGTATTTGAAGTTTGTAGGTATTGTAATTTTTAATATTAATGTTTACAACGAAAATTACGCAGTGTAAAGAAACAAGTGAAGCCATCTTATAAATCACTTTTTTATTAAAGTGGCTACAAGTTGGTTTTTGTTATATTAATTGTTATTGATTTCCTCTGACTAAGGTATTCAACACCGAAAGGTACCTACCGAAAGCTATGGAGTAGCTCTCCCTAACCACGGCTGGGACTCGACGCGTAAAGGACGTTCGCATCTGAAAAATCGATCGGTGTACGAGACAGACGTTAGCTATTATCCTCAAAACAGCGCGAGCAATTTACGATCAGGCAATTTTAAAATATTACCTAACAGATAATAATATGTACGCTGGGAGTAATATAGTATTTCTATTGCGTCAGTTATGCTGTGCTACATAATCATAATCTGATATTGAATTAACAGTACTTGGCTTAAAGCTTCTATTACATAAACAGTAACAGGTTTCCGTTCATCGTAGTAACAGTAATTGGTATAAACAATTACCTATCTGAGTCATTGTAACTACCCATTTATTGATTTCACATTTTGTTTGTTTATTCATTATACAGAAGCCGGTTGTGTGAGACTCGTTGCATGGCCGGTTGGCGATAGGGTACGGCCTTTTAATCCGAGTGAATGAACGTGCACAGTTAATATGGCGCAGTCAATATGTGGCACATGAGCACATCCCGTTTATCCAACGTGAATTGTTAACTTCCATGATTATAAGCAAACAATGTAGGTAGACAACATAATGCTAAAATAATTCCAGTTCGTAAAACAACATATTTATCATAATATAATTTCTAATTACTTAGGCTTTCAAGGATTACAAATGTCTTCATAGGCATTTGTTACGAGCAAAGCTTTTTGATGAGCAATTATTAAACTTTTATGTACAAATAAATGTAGGCATTACAAAGTGATGAAACGCTCCGTAATTCCGTTAAATGAGGAGACTTACAAAATAAATTCATGTTTCGACAAAAAGTAATGTTGTTACGAATATGTAATTTAATTTGGAATGTTTTTCATTTCTTTCAGGGGTAGAAATGATCTTCGTTTTTTGTAATAAGCAGATGGACAAATATCTTTGATTTATGTACATAGCCTGATTTATGTTGTTATCTCAATTTAAATAACTAAGATGTCGAAATATGAGATACAAGTCTTTATTTAAATGAGTACTCTAATGGAAAATTCTAATGGGAATAATTTGGAATAAATCTCTTACTTATTTGTGAAGTGGCAACAAGTTTGTCTGGGTTTTCCAGGAAGAAATCAGAGAAATGAACCTTCGAATAAAAAATGCAGACGACGCGAGAATGTCGAGGGTCGGTGACTGTATTTATTTAGCACATACATACGCATCTATATACCTATACACTATACAGTCGCTACTCGCTACGTAGCAACGGCAGGTCGGTAACTGCGACCCCTTTTTACAAGGAAACGAAACCCGTGACTGTTTCGAAATTGTTTGCAAATAAGGCGTTAATTTTTAATACCATTTTAACACGATCAATACTTGTTTAGGTAATGTTCAGCAGTCATTTGATTCATGCTCAATGTAGGTAGATTAATTTATCGCCATTTCGTAGCACTGTGCTACGAGAATAATCGTATACTTGAAATACTCGAAATCTAGATCAGTTCTTGGTGCCTAAGAATCTTTATCGCTTGACAACTTATATATAAATATAATAAAAGTACGGTTTGTGCCTATTTTAGAAAGGGAATGTTTTTTATTAGGTATATGACAAAATATATAATTTGGTTGTTTACAATTATCGTACAAAATTAATTGTCCGTATTCGTTAACAGCTTTGAAACTCTTCATTGCCGATACATCATCTATACAGAACTAGATGTGATAGTAATTGTGCATCGAGTTACTTTTTGAAGACTTTACTAGCCCTACACAAGGACTAGAGTTAATCCTAGCTTCATTTGTCAGCAGCCCAGTGAATTTTCCTAAATTTTCATACATATCCTTTCATACAAACCATATACTAACAGTAACACCAATAATTCTGCTTGTTTCAGGATCTATTTCCCTTGCACGGCTGGTGGACGAATACAGACCGCATGCAAGACAGCTCAGACATACAAGTGGTGTACCTACCAGCACTACTGCCGAGAGAAGCACAGCTTGCCTCCGACAAACAATCAGAGGACATCCCATTACCGTACAGCTTTGATGCTTTTGGAAGGTAAGGATGTTTTCGAGACTGTACTTATAAAGTAAAGCCAAGAATACAAATGTCCCAAGACATGTATCGGTGATATGTTGAGGGAAGCCGCCGATGGCGCCTGACATACAGGGTGACAACGCGCAACTTATGTCCAATGTGACTTTGATGCTGATAGACATGTCGACCAAAGTCTGGTAACGTCGCGTTACTTCACCCGACGTCGCTGGTGACACATGTCGCAGGATTTGCCCCCTAGTACCTATACACTAAATAACATTGCCATTTTATTTATCCCATCTACACCAACTTCGAGTCCTGTAACCAAAGTTCATAGAAAAGTAGCCTCTAAGACTGATTGCCGACAAAAACTTTGAAGACTAATCTTCCGCTAGCGTCGGTCACTATTGTCCGGCACGGCGTTTAATGTGTTAATGAGGATGCTATAGCGATTAAACTACATTCATTTAATTCTTCAATTTTATCTATCTATATATTCTATCTACTATACAAGGTGTAGTTTTGAAGCCTCTCGGGGGCATGTCACAGAAGTCATAAAGGTTTAATGTAAGAGAAAATTTCGGGCCAATAGTTAAAAATACGGCCATAATAAATAGTTTAAGTTCGACAGTATTTCAGAATAAGCGATAGCAATGTTTCTTATTGGAGTTTTATGGAATTAGGAATAATATCAATTACGTGTTTGAGTTTGTGTGTGTTATGCCGCGTTATAAATCTAGTGACAAGACGGCGGCGTATACTTCGCACTTCCGGATTTCCGTAATTTCAGAAAAATGGAAAATATTTACCTACAATTTTTTTTATTAATTCGGACTCAGAATCGGTAGCCGAGTTACCTCCTAGAAAATGACGCGGCTTTAAAACAACACCGTGTATATATATAGAAATGAAACCCGTTTCCCGTTGTCACGCCATAACTTGAGAACGACTACACCGATTTCACTAATGATCTTTTTTGTTGTTTTTGTTACTGTCAGGAAGTTCTTATGACAGAAAAAAATTCTGAAAATCCTACGGGAACGGGAGAAAAAGGGATTGCGCGAGCGAAGTCGCGGGCAGAAGCTAGTTAATTACATAATTATGTATCCCGTAATTGGGTGGGACGTTTATTACATAAACTTTAATTTAACAAGTTTACTTATATAAAATGCTTTTTCTTAACATCCTTAAATATGTATCTGTAAAGATTAACATGGAATGCTATGTTTCCTGTATTCAGAACTATATTGGATAGTCAAATCTCTATCTGTCCTTTTCGCTCTTCATAGAAAACACTAGAATAATCCAGTTTACGACACATTGTTTCTCGTTGGACTCTAAACATTTCTACGCATAACGTGCTCGTAGACGACTATTAAAGAAAAACAGGTTTCATTGAGTGCCAACTGACTGACCTTGACAAAGCATTACTGTTTAAGTGTGTTGGATCTGTTCGTGTGATCAATCAATCATATCGTATTAGGAGAAAGCGTATGCTAATTCATTGATACTGATGACTAATAAAAAATAGATCTAGATCTAATTTGGGTTATCTCTACACAGATTTTATTTACATAGTTTGTATGTGGGCCTGTCTTTGTTATTATTTTTTTCATCATTCTTTTCTAGGAATTTTGAGCTTCAATTGGTGCCAAATCGTCGCCTTGTCTCCCCTGAGTTTCGAGTTTGGTCAGACCAGGGTCAAGAAGCTACGCTCTCGGCCGTAGACTCTTCCTGCCACTTCCAGCATGCAGGGTCTAATGCAGTCGCTGCATTCTCAGCATGCAGAGATCATGCTCTTGTAAGTACAAAATATTTTTTTTTATCAAACACACGTAGTTCTAATTGTGACGAGTTACATATAAAGCAGACGATGTTCTTCTATCATATTTTATGTTTGTTGGATGCAGCATGGATTGATTGTCGTGGACAACTCAACTTATGAAGTACGCCCTCTGCCACTCGGCAGCGGGCGGGCGGAAAACGGTAGCGGCCGCACGGCGCATGTTATCCGTCGCGCACCGCCGCCTGCACCGCCCGGCGATGACGCACGTCTATTGCGACCGCGCGTGCGCAGACCACGGGCCTACCCCCCACGACTCAAGCCTGGTCCGCCCAACTACACCATTGAACTAGCTTTATTCCTTGACGAAGCTGCTTACAAAATATTCTACCCTTATCTCAACTACAGCGAGTCAGATCTTCGTGATATGCTTCTAGCATACATTAATGGTGTAAGTTTTCACTTTTATTGTTTAATTTACGAAGTCTTGGTCTTGGTTACTATAATTTACCTCCATAAGATTTCCTTAAAATATAGCTTCTGTCAAATGACTTCTACATGTTCCAGGTGCAAGCGCTGTACCAGCACTCTTCTCTGGGTACTCACATTCAGCTGTCACTTGTGCGCTTGACGCTGCTGCGATCACAACCATCTTCTCTACCACCGCATGCAGAACGAGGCCGATTGCTTGACTCATTTTGTGCGTACCAGCGATCATTGAATGTAGACGATGACGATGATCCTCAGCATTGGGACATGGCCCTGCTGCTATCAGGGTAACTGTAAATCTGAACCTGTAGCTCAATTTCCAACTGTACCTAGTGACTGACATCATCGGTACACTACTTATCGTTCAACGGTAAACAATTATGAGTTTACTAGGGTAGAAAAACTAACTGAAATCAAGCCTACATGCATCAATGAAAACGAGCAAATATCTGTTCAAAACGTGTTGTGGTTTGTTTTGTGGTTTTACACAAGAAACGCTGGTATTTCACAAAAAGACGATGATTCAGCGTTATGCGTAAAAATAAAGAAAAACATAAAATAAATCTCTTTTAGCATACCTACTACAAAAGACTTTCAAAACACAAAAGACTTCCAAAAGTTAATCACCCACCGTTATTTGTTTAACAATTTAGTCTACAGAGGTATTGGACGGGTCACATAAGGTTTTTGGGGTCAAATCTTTTTCTGTTTGTTCTGTTCTTTTGTATTTTTGCACCAAATTAGTTTGTCTAAAGATAAAGCGGCTGTTTTTGTTTTCTGTTTCAGGTTGGACTTCTATTCAGAGGAAGGAGGTCGTCGAAATGGAGTGACGATGGGTCTGGCGCCAGTGGGCGGTGTGTGTTTACCAGCACATGCGTGTGTGGTTTCAGAATTCGGCACATCTGACATGCTCGGCCGGCCCTATCCCTCTGCTGGCTTCACCTCTGTCTATATCCTAGCGCATGAGATTGGGCACAAGTCGGTCATAACTCGTATTATATTATTTTATCTCTCAGACTCTAAATATACCATAATTACATCAATTCTTAGTATCGATAGAACAATTAGGACGACAGTTTTGATTTGCCATAACAACCATAACTCGTATAGACAGCTTGCTGTAACTCTTCGAGGTCATTAACTTGTAATCGATTCCATTCCTCCGTTTATATTAGGGCCATTATGCGGGCTTTGTTAAGCGGTTTATTTCTATTATATTAATTGTGTTGTAAATTTAATGAACCATGAAATTATTAGGTGTAATAATTCTACCTGTTATCGGAGCCCTAAGTAAGGCAAGTACTTAATCCGTGCTGTTAGTTAGGTCTCAGTTTCTGGTTATCTTTAAATTACTATCTACTGGCTATTTCTAGTATGGGTAATTCTGTAAGTTTAAATTTATCTTTTCAGTCTGGGAATGCATCATGATGGGACGGGCAACAACTGCGCTCGCGACGGCTACATAATGTCTCCTTCGCGCGGGACCAACGGCGAAGCCTCCTGGTCCACTTGCAGCGCTCGCGTCGTTGCCGATTTGCAGTACCTATAGTTCCTTTATCATCCGTTTGTTTTTATATTAGTATAGTTACAAATATTTGTTTTATTACCTATCGATATTTATGAGGATAATAGAATTAACTTACATATTACCTATTAATACAAAAACAGGAAAAATGATTACTTTTCCTTTGTCCTACTCCACAAAATGTTTCACTGATTATTTGATAAATCGAACGTGATTGTTGTTGTTAACGAAATGGTTATGTTGATTTGATGTCAATTTTTGTTGTTACACAAGTTACATTTGTATGCACATTGCATGACTCTTTCCTAAACGTGACGCTGTAGAAGGTTAATGATAATTTGGTAGTCGATTCATAATAAGTAGTTAGATTTGCAATACACGCATTTCGTTTGTATGCAATCATAAGGTCTTCGATAGCTACTGGGTAGAATTTACATAGGCATAATTAACCCATTTACTGTGACTTTCTTCAGATGGGCAACTTGCTTGTTTGATGGCTCTGATGACTTGGATGCGCCCAGTGAGCTCCAGCACGAGAGGTTTGGTGGAGCTCCCGGAGCTGTATGGAGTGCAAAGAAGCAGTGTGAGGTGAGTCACGTAATTTTGGTTCTAGTTTACTAGTATATAGGAAGTTATACGAAGAAGTGAGTGAGAGCTAAAATGATAAAATTTACAATTATTTGCAACTGTCCTACCTACCTGGCCGAGAAATCAATCAGTAATTGATACACTTCATTATTAAAACACAGAACTCAACTGACCAATGATAATTTTCCCTTGTGCAAGATTCTGTTGCGTGACGCTGACGCTGCCCCGTCTCCAAGCGGTCCGGCAGGCGAACACTGCTCCCAGCTTGCCTGTCGCACGCCACACCGAGCTGGGTACTACTACGCCGGACCTGCACTACCTGGGACGCCCTGCGGAATGCACATGGTCAGATACATTATGTATTTTCTAATTCCTAATTTTTGATTTACTTGGTGGTACTACTTAAATAATCTTGTTGAATGGTAAAATTGAAATTAATAAGAAAATATTCCAAAAATTTGTATGTATTGAAAGTTTTAATAAATAAAATAATCTCCATTCGCAAATGGCGCCCAACGTTGTCCAATTTGTCTAACGTTGATTGCACAAATACAAATCGGAAAATGTTTCATAGATAACGAAATCTGCAATATTAGTATTGTTAATAATTATTTTTGTCTAAACATTGGATATTAATATATTACAAGAAGTCGATACTGTAAAATAACTAACGGATACTTCAGTGGTGTCAAGGAGGCGAGTGTGTGCCAGCGAAGGCTCTGCCAACATCAAGTACCACGGCGAAACCTGACAAGGATATCGACAACACTATATCAGGAGGTTGGAGTCCCTGGAGAGAAGCAAGCTGCCAGTCTGGCTGTTCTGACAGGAGTCGAGGGTTCAGGGAGCGACGGCGAGTGTGTACGAAGCCCTCGACGGACGCATGCCAAGGAGCTTCGTATGACGTCGTGTTGTGTGATGATACCAAGGTTATTTAAGCTCTGTCTAATTTTTTTTGAACACTGTAATAATGGCTAGCGATTACTATGATGCATGTTGGCTGAAAACTTCGTAACTAAGACTATACATAGTGTGAAAATGTACATATTTAGCACACATTAGCTGAAACCTGGTATTTTACGATTGGTTACTATGACAAAGCAAGAGAAAATTCGTTAAATAATAATGGTTTTAGTCTCCCTATCACAATAGCATAAGTAAATATTCTGTACCCACAATCATAGTAAAATATTAATAAAAAAATGTTTTCAATTAGGTTTGCGGCAAAAAAACTCGTGTAGGAGCAAGTGAGCTGGCGTCACGTAAGTGTGCGGAGTATGCATCGCTGCTGCCAGAGCTGGACCCTCGTGGAGGTGGTCTGCAGGCACCGCATGATCCCAGTAAGTATTGCACACTTGGTGTGTTTTTACATTGATTACTTGTTTAAACAATTACGCATAGTATCTGCTGTGTTATGTTATACTCTGGGTAATTAAGTTGAAATATTATTTTTTACATATTTTTTTATTTTCTTTTGTTGGATTAGAAAGCTCCAGCTCTAACTATCCTTTCAGAGATACACGTGATATAAAACTTATGACTATTTATTTACTCAAACTTTGTCTTTATGAAATTCCACCTGTTGCGAAACCAAATCTTCTTTTGTTTTCAGCTCGTATGTGGATGGGATGTGCTGTGTTCTGCCGACGTGCATCGGGAGGAGGTTTCTATGCTCCACGGGTTGAGCTGAACGATGCAGGCAAGGACCCTTATTTCCCCGATGGTACCTGGTGTCATAACGATGGAAGTCAAGACTACTACTGCCTTCAACATCACTGCCTACCTGAGGTGAGATCATTAATGAGTTTTATGAATGTTTTGTGTAGGTAGAGGTAATAAATTATGATACAGTAAATTACATCATCTTATAAATCGTTAAGTTGTTAATCATCGTTATGATGGCAAAAAAATACTATTAAGTATTGATGGCCTTTTCAATTTTATCAATTTACAATAGATTTGGGATTTCAATTCTTAATTTTAAACTAATGACTTAAGTTAATTTGACCCTATTAATTTTTTGTTAGTTATAAAAATAATTTCTTATCTGAAGTTTGAAGTGAGAATATATCTACATATAGCTATGTACGTTTACAAGATTTCGGTACGCATGGTAGCGTAAATTGTGCGTCGTTGATAAGTGTAACTAGGTCACACACTCTAGAAGGTACGGTAGTAAATTGTAAGTAAATCAATGACCAAGGTTGTTTGTGTACAAACGTCGTTAGTCCTTTAATGTTTTAACAGCGTCCTCTATCGGTGAATAACCGCATCACTAAACAAGTTTCAAGTGAGTTGCCAGCAAAATAGTATACACTTCTAAAAGTTGAATGGTGTAGTTTCCACCCAAACTAATAGATGGCGTTGCTGGTAACATTCCGCTGTTTTCCTTCATTGTTTGAAGTTCAAGATAATTGATGATGGTATCTGTGTCGTACGGAAAATCGTCATTTCCATGGCTTAATTTCGTTATTATATATTATAATTATGATAATATATTATTCGGTCAAGGCTATTTACAATTAATATTCCATTGCTTTGTAACACAAATTAATTAATATTCCCAATAATTTTCTTATTTGGAATATTAAGCTTGTGCATGTTTTATAAAATCTTAATCGTATTTTTTGTATATGCTACAAAATATTGCATACAATATGCGTGAAGCAAAAATCTAAACTAAATACCAATATCTATCCAAACCAGACATTAATAAAATAATTTATGTGTACTGAACACTCTTGGTCTTTAAAGCATGAATACCTCGAATGGCTTTACTGAATTAGATAGTTTTTATTGTATCTGATTTTGTCGGGACAATATTGGAAGGAAATAATAAAAAGATACAAATTCAAACTAGGAATCCCAAGGAACCTAAGCAAAGCTGGAACGGGCAGCTAGTTTTTAATAAATCTAAGTACGTACAAAAATGTAGGCGTATAGATATAATTACACATATATTCAAGAACACCGTGATTGTAACTATTACACTTCCCATATCCGTACTAGTCAACGTAAGTGGAGTCAAACTGTTCCATTCGTCGATAGGTTGTGATTGTAACTACCAAACACTTTGATTTATTTTGGATTTTGAAACTTATTTTTGGTATTTTTTTATTTAAGCAAAAATGCGGAAAAATGTAGGTTTTATGGTAAACTACCTGTTGCTGCGACTTCGTCCACGTTGAATATGATTCCTGTTTTATCTCATGAGAGCATTTAATCGGTATAAAAAGTAACCTATCCCTGTGTACCAAATTTCATCCTAATCCGTTCAGTAATTTTGGCGTGATAGACGGACAAACACACAAACAAAGAAACTTTTACATTTGTAATATTAGTATGATAGAACGAAATAAGGAACTGAGAATATTACGTAAAATAAACGTTTGCCTACTTTTTTTGATGCCCTTAACTTTAAGAAAAAAACTATTTATTAATTTATTTCCCGTATATCACCAAGCGGTCAACGGTGACCGCTCTTCACTAAGTATATTAGACCCTATTTCCAACGTTTAGAGACTATTTTTGTATGAACAAATTTAGGGGATGATTTTCAACAATTTTCAAGGGGTTAAACATTGATTATATTTTTACTACATAGTTTATAAATCTTGCTAGTTACACCATTAATTTTCAATGCCCCTCCTACTTCCCATATCCGTAGTCCGTACGACCACACAATCAACAATCATTAGGAACCTATTAACAATAACGTGTAACATTAAGTACGTTGCCTTAACATTGTTACATGAGTCTATTAAGTCTATAAAAGGTTCAGTACATTTAGTTAGCTTTATAGCGCATTGTTTGAATATAAATAGGCTAACAACCAGATAAATGCTGCAGGTAGGGTAATCTCCTTGTCTGTCAACAGCCGCGTCATCTCACGTGATTGTATCTCTATAAGTACATCAATCTAATGAATGACTTGTGTCGTAACGACATACGTACACACTTCGTTGGTTAATGTCATATTGCGGCAGTTAGAGGGCCTTTAGCCAAACGCCACTTTAGCGCTTGTCTACAGAGAGAGTAGAAATCAAAATGTATGGGGATGATACTGACAAGTGTCAAAATTTACGTCAATCTCATATAATTTAGTTTTCTACTCTACCTGTAGACAAGCGCTAAGTGGCATTTGGCTACAGCTGCAGGAAGGAACGGTGGCATGTGCAAAATACAGATTTTTCAAGCTATTCTAACTTGGCCACGCAAATATCTACAGGTTTAATCTACTATCATCATCATTATAATATAAGCCACAGGACGTCCACTGCTGAACATAGGCCTCCCCCAATGACTTCCAGATAGGCCGATTGGAAGTGACCAGCGACCTTGATCTGCTATATGCCTCTGAAACTGCAATAGATATTTTATGTTATGTGAAACATTACTGTTAGTGGGTGTTACAAGATAGTATTAGTTATCTACTACAGTAAATTGTGCATCTTTACCTTACCCCTTCGGAAAATAAAATTATGAGTTATGTTATGTAAAACAAATGTCAAGTCTATAGAGAACAGGCGTAATCCATTGCAAATGAAAAGATTTATAAGATTATCGAACGTCTTTGCGTCATAAAAAGATTTTTAAATGTCATCCAAAATATTATATTTTTTGTTGGTAAAAACTTGTTTGCAGATCGAGAAGATGTCGAAATTGTTTTTTAATTTCTTCTAAACATGTTGTTTTAAGTAGAAACTTGCGCAGTGCCTCATGTGCTTCATTATCTCAGCTCCTTGCATTATGTTGGCTTGTCGTAATCCGTACGTGCTTCGTTTGCATTTGCATGCTGATGGAAATGTTCCGTAAAAAGCTATCTCTGCGAAAATCTTCACATGAAGATAATTTAATCATTCATTTGTATTCTGGGCAAAATTTTTAGAGTTATACCTTTAGTTTTTTTATAGCATAAGCCGGTAAACGAGCAGACGGATCACCTGATGGTAAGCAATCGGCGCCGCCCATAGACACCCAAAACACCAAGGCGTTACAAGTGCGTTACCGGCCTTTTGGGAATTGGGAATTTGAGGATTGTGGAGGATTCGGGAATTCGGGAGACTAGGTAGGGGGGTAATTGGGCCTCTGGTAACCTCACTCTCACGACGAAACACAACGCAAGCGTTGTTTCACGTGTTTTCTGTGAGGCTGTAGTATCTCTCCGGTCGAGCCGGCCCATTCGTGCCGAAGCATGGCTCTCCCGTAACATAAACGATAGTACGAGTATACATTTTAAACTGTCAAAAGCACACGATACGTATATATGTAGGAAGGACCTCGTTTTTTCCCCAAATGTGTTATTGTATTAAAAAAAGTCTATTTTAGAATTTTAAGAACAGATTTTCAACTATACATATTAATTTTTACTATTGCTGAATCTTAGTATTACTACAGTTACTGATGTATTTTATCGAATTCGGTTTCGAATACGCAACACACCACCACATCATCTTTTCGTAGCACCTACGGGCTACGCCACCTCTACGTATCGTAGCGACTACCCCGTGTTCCAAATAGCACTTAGACGACGCCCTTTACGTAGTATAGCAGCTACGACGTGTTTACGTAGCGCCTACGCCACTACTACGTAACGTAGCATATCGACTAAGTACATCATCCTTACGTAGCACTTAAGCCTCTACGAAGCGTACCGGCTAAGACTTCTTTAAGTAGCATCTACGTCGCCCATACGAAGCGTAGCGACTACGACGTCTTTACGTAGAGTCTCCTCTACGTAGCGTAGCGCCTACGCCCCCTATACGTAGTGTAACGCCTACGCCACCTCTACGTAGCGTAGCGGCTACGCCACGGCTACGTATCGTTGTGGCTACGACGTATTTACGTAGCGCCTACACGACCGCTATGTGGCGTAGCGGCTACGACGCCCCTAGGAGCACCACCTTTTGTACGTAGCGCATCTTTAGCGAATAGTATTAAAAATATTTGCTAAGTTAAACTAAGTATACATTTGAATTTAAAGATTATATTATTATAACATACTCTTATAAAGGTACATAATTTTTTTGTGATTATTGTTCCGGGACAATATTATATATTTTCATATAATATGTATAATTTATAAGTATTCACGAAAGGTGGAATTCGCTCCTTCATGTGTTAGTTACTATGTATTATCATATAAGGATAAACTTCTAACTTGGTTGTATTCACAGAGAGTTATTATCATTAGATAATGTTACAGAGTCCGCCCTTAGACTTGTTATGCAGCACTCGCTATTGTTTGAGTGCCAAACATACGCCACAGACTTTCTTCCGTGCGTCATAGAAATTCAAAGATATTTGCTGATTTAGAGTAAATTATGGGCCTAATTAGTCACAGTTTATCTAGACGTATAAATTGGACTATGATAAATTGCGCAAGTATGCTCAAGATTTGACGTTAACATTTTAACAACTTGTTGACTTTTGATAGATGACACATATGAACAGGCGCTCAGTCCACTCGACAGCCGAGATTTGTTAAATGTTGACGAAACGTGTCATCCGGTGGTGTTCCTGACAAGACACTCTGATTATTATGATAAAAAACTTGACTCTTAATTAAACAGTTTTATTATTATTTAAAATTATTAGTTATTCTTATCAAAAAACAATGTCTTTCTCTAAACGTTTCTTTTTCACGACAATTAAGATCATGTTTTCCCTTCCTATATTATCAACTTAACCCTTTAACACAATTATAGTAAAAACTACAAGGAACCAGTTAGAAGTTACACCTAATTGAATAATACACAACAACTACCGTATAATTAAGTTCTTGGCACAAATCTAATGTTTTCGTAGTACACTCGTATAATACGCATGTGCATGGAAGCCAGATAAGCCTTAGACGGAAGCAAGCAAGGGCAGGCATTGTACTCGACCAAGGCTGCTGCTAATTGAAGATAGTTTACGGTATCTGTAAACTGTACATATCAATTTATCTATGGTGATAGATACTTAGACATGCCAAGAGTAGGGGAAGATAGAGTTAATAGACTTTGACTGCCAATAAAAAACTGTTGAAGGTAAATCCTCCGCTAACGCCGGTCACTAGTGACTCCCATGGCGTTTAACGTGTTAATAGATGTTTTGTTACTTATACCAATAATAAGAACACCAATTCAGGATTGCAATGGCTTATGCAATAAAAGTAAGAAATTATTAGTGAAACATGAAACTGTCGGTAATGGATGTCGGTTTAATAATTTTAGCTAAGCCTACATACATGAAGCTGCGAAAATGATATATTCCTGTATATTGGATAGATAATTTAGACTAAGTTGTTTTGTAGAATATCAGAGTAGGTATTAATTATTTTGTAAGCCTAAGTAATAGTAAAAATCTCACTATTTAAGTTGTATAGTACATATATTTGTTATGTAAACGCAGGATGGTATTGACATCGTCACATAATGTGTACAAAAATACCTTAAAATAAAAATATAAAATAAAAATCACTCTTTCTGAAACATCCCGAAGTTTATTTTGACTTCCATAGTGTTGCTGCTAATTCTTACTTTTGTTATAGCCACATACACTATTGAATAGTCTGTATACCTAGAGGTATAAGTCTGTATACCTATAATATAAGTATTATAATACTTATTATGAATAGTCACTATTCACACACACTATACAATCGTAAAGCATCCGAAAACACATAGTGGAAATACCGTAGTGGACTTCACACATCAGTAACTGCCCTAACATTATTCAAAATTACATGATTGTAGCATTTTTCTACCAATTCCATTTAATTGTTGACATTGTTTCCGTACTCTCAAATTCGTGGCAACACAAAAACATGGTTACCTAATGCAGAAATAATCTTACCAGCTCTTTACAATACACGAAATAATTATCTGCAGTAATTATATTTGAGATTTTCTCGTTGATTATCTAGTTACAAACGTGGCTGCCGAGCGAGGGATGTCGGAATCAACTACCTCTATATTAGGTAGACTGCCTCATTGGCCGAGTGGTCGCAAGTGCGATTACCGGGCAAGGGTCTCGGGTCGGGAAAAGTATTACTGGTTTTTTTTTATTCTCAGTAGTGTACGGAGTCTGGAATTGGGCCCGGTATATGGCAATAGGCTCACCCCCTATTACATGAAACTCATAACATAAATAGTGAAAAGGGTGAAAAGTGAGTGTTACATTGCACAGTGGCATTAAGGGCCGCAATGTGCACCTCTGCCTATCCCTTCGGGGATAAAAAGGCGTGATGTTATGTTATGACTATATTAGGTGAACAAAATTCCCTTTGATTTATACGAATTATTTCCTTTTTTAGATTCTCCTTTTTATAATATATTCAATGCTAGTATAACTTATCTCCTTAAGGGAAAAGCAGTTCTGATACTTATTATATTCACGTATTTATTGATGTTTTTAACAACACTACCACGTACTTTATGTATGTACATTATTTGACAGATTCCGTAACAAATCTCTCGTAATCTTTTATTTATTTGTTCATAGAGGAGGAATTTTTTATTGTAGTAGGTACAGGTAGATTTTATTTTGTTTTCGTAGTTTTATTGTGACAAACACTGGAAGATTCATTACTTGTGTGCTCAGAAATCACAAGCGTTATGATCCCTAGAGGAAATCGTACGTAGGTATTTCACGTTCAAGACCAATGCATTGTTTTCTTAGGTATTATGTATTATATAGTCACAATGGATTTATCTCATTCAATTGAATAACGTTATAATGCTATGAAAATCGAAAGTACCTCGAAACTAAACTTCCTAATCAATGGGTTTACCAAACAAATTTTCAACTCGAATATGTACTTTATTACGGCGTATATTTACAAAAACAATTAGACTTTATAAAATACGTATAATACGTGAGAATTAACAGAACACTACAAATAAAATTGATATAATTTTCACATTTCAAGGATTATAAATAAGATAAATAGAATCGTTCACATCTGGGTTCCACGTGTCATTGTCTAGCGTATCAATTATATTCCACATACTGTGCCCGCGACTTCGTCTACATTAACAGATCCCATGGAACATTTTTTCGTGTATAAAAAGTAACTTATAGATTAATTCATATTGTAATTAATCACTGTACCAAATCTCATCTAAATCAGTTCAGCTATTTTGATGTAATTGAGGTAAACATTTATTCATTACATAAATATTAATTGTTCTATCTATGCATGGATACATTCCAACTTTCGTATTTATACTTTTTGTTACAGATTGTATCATCGTTTTAAAAGAAGTTATTGCTTATTAATAGAATATAGAGCAACAAATATTTTGATTGGCAATATGAATCATTATTATTATGCCATGAACTCGGTTATTTATTTTTCTTAAGTGCATTGAAAATGAGACAGACTTGTTTTTCCTTTAAATTATTCGCAGATGTGTCACTAGACGGGTATTTTATTGGTAAGCAAGTCTGCAAAATAATATATTAAGTTATTGCAACTGACTTAACAAATAGGGCCAGTCGAATTCCATGGTGTCGACTGCAGGGTAGAGGATATTTGTTAGATATCCCTTCTTCTAATGTGGAAGTCATTAGAGCCGAACTTACGTCCAAAACCTATGGAGAAGACAGAGATAGAGTTTTTGATAGGAACTCCATACAACTGATGCCAAAAATCGATACTTATTGACATATTTTGGATCGATACAGGTTATTAATTTCGGCCTTTATTGCGGTATTCGCCCAATATGTAGTCCTCTATATAATCTATATGCTATATAGAGGTAATATAATCGCTCTATAATAATCTTGAATCTTTTTAAATTTTTTTTTAGAAATTATCCATTTCATCGTCCAAAAAATTTTACTCATTTTAATAATTATCATTTGCAATTTAGTTCAGCTTAGTTCAAAATACGCTAGACCTAATGAAGAAAAGGAAAGAATTAATATTTCTAACTGTATGTCCATCCCGCCTGTCAAGTATGGAGACCTATAATAGCAAGCTATTGGTGATAAAATGCTCAGTAGTTTCTGCTACTGCTATGGTAACTTCATAATGTGTATTGAATACTACAATAAAGATAAATTCATATCAGCAGCAGTGTGGTAATAAAAATATAATAAGTATACACTTAGTCGTATGTTCTCTTATGAGGTTGGATTTCAGTTAAATATTTACTGTTTTTCATAGCACTTGTGGTAATCTTAAAGTCCATATGTAACTTTCAACAGGGAGTTCCAAATGACTGCAATTTGTTCTTTTATAGTGTGTGTTGGTACTTTATAAAGTAATTTTGAATCCAGTGTAACCATGTATTATATGTTTTCAAGAATCTTGTTGAAATTGTCTAAATGAAACAAACAAGATAAACGCTCGCCATTTATTTCAAGTGAATGTAATTGTTCCAATTAATTCGATTCCAATTTCTCGTTTAATGTAAAATCGAAATTAAGATCCAAACTAAGGGTCTTTTATTAATTTACTGAAATTGGTAATGGACAACTAAGCAAATAACTTTCTTATGAAAAACGCCCCTCTCTAAAGCCCCAACCAAACTCAATTTCCTAATCCTCAAAAGGCCGTTAACGCACTTGTAACGCCTCAGGTGTTCCAGGTGTCCATAGACGACGCCGATTGCTTACAATCAGGTGATGCGGCAGCACGGTTACCGGCTTATTCATAAAAAAAAAGTTATGAATAAGCTGAAATAACAGGAATGATTATTTCTGCAATTATATACGTTTTAACCTTTGATGTTCAAACTTTGCACAATAAATAGAGGAGTTGAGTCAGTGAATACGTCATATTAACGTGCCTATGACGTATCCAACATGAATCAATAAATCTACCTATTATAGCTTAACACCTTACATAGAAGTGACGAACCTGTGACGTAAAAACCAAACTGATCATAATAACAACTACAACAATTGATTACACATTTATTAATATAATTTTCGTTTTTGCACAGAATTTCAAGATGAACGCTCAATGGCATATTTGGGAGCTTCCAAGTCAAGATGTGTCGGGACCATTCAATGCTCGCGCGTTGTCAACTCCTGATGATGAAGCGGCCGCCGCCGCGATCAAAGCTTACTTATCCTTGGACAATGCAGGAGTTCCCCTAACCAGGTCTGCCTTACCACCTCAGATTCCTGAGGAGCCTGAAGAGAATTGGGAAGTTGTAGATTATGTGGATGTTCCCAAGCAGAGGAAAAGAAGTCCAAGAGGTTATTCACCGGGTACATAGCGTTGTGTCATACATACAACAAGAGTCAGAGGTTATCATACCAGTCCGTTTATTGAAATGATTTATACAGGTGATTGAAATGTCTATTTTGGTATCGAAAAGTTCCATCTCGTAAATTGTCATTGATTTGTTTACATGATATTCATGTTCATTGGACACTTCTATAAACGTATTGTGGTGAATATAACTTTGAAAGGCTCATTGATTTTGTCCTCAAACACACTATTAGCAGATCATTCTAATATAATTCTAAGTACCTACCATTATCTTGCCAAAATGTAATTTAATTTATTTAAGTTAGGATTAAGTTTGAGGTGCAACCAGTGCCTTACTGAAGCATTTATTAGTATCGACAGTATTAGAAAGAGTATTAGGTATTATGTATTTATTTTTAAGTAGCCATTAAGTTAAATTACCATTTACTTTGAAATGGAGGATGCACGATTTTTCTGTTTGTAATACAAGGTAAGAAAATGTTACATTGTATTTAAAAATTAGTGTAACTATAGTATTTATGGATTCAATTTGAATTGATAATGTAAGTTACTGATTCACGAGAAGTTTCGTCACTCCATGTATAAATAAAGATCTACATAAAGTTTCAGTACATAGTGAACTATATAATAAAATACTAGTCTTTCTATTTGTATGAGCAGGCCAACTGTTTTGTATTTTATTTAAATGTATAGAGTTAAAGGTTTTAGTTTTATGCTCCAATAATGTTTATTTCCTTCGTCAGTTACTTTACTACAGATTTTATGTAACGTGGTTTCTTTGAATATACGCCATCTCTATATTTATGTAGTTTTATTTATTTCACTGCCTCGCTGGCCGAGTGGTTGCAAGTGCGACTGCCGGATCGGGCAAAGTATTCCTGGGTTTTTTTAAAAAATTTCTCAATAGTAGCACGGAGTCTGGAATTGTGCCCGGTATATGGCAATAGGCTCACCTCCTATTACATGGGACTCATAACATAAATAGTGAAAAGTGGGTATTACATTATGCAGTGACATTATGTGCACCTCTGCCCAACTCTTCGGGGATAAAAGGCGTGATGTTATGTTATTTATTTCACTTATTACAATTTTTTTCTCTCTAGTTTATATGTAATTCTAATGCCGTAGTGATGTTTTTGAAGTTGTACTAGTAGAGCTATAAATCGATTGAACATTTAGTTTTACGATCGTTTTACAACCGTTTAAAAAGCTTAAATCAATCATTCGTACGCAGCGCTTTATTTGATTAGTTTTTTTATCTAAATTATTATAATGTATGCGCAAACCTAGTATTGTGTAGTGAGATTTATTGTTAATAGTTTATACTTTGAAATATATTGAAGCGCTTGCGCATTATATACTTAAGTACGTACAAATATGTGTGTGTTGTACATTAGTGTCAGAGCTTATGTGGCGCTTCACCGGCTTCAGGCCGCGCATGCGTGATGTGCTGTCTGTACTCTAATGTATGCTAATTAAGTCAGGTGATGTGACTTTTATTAGGTACATCTAGCCATATTTATTGTTCCGTTGCGTCTTCATCGAACTTTTTAAAGCCAATGTTAACTGAAAATCTTACTGCAGACACGTCCATAGGACATTCGATACAATTTTATCCTTACATAAGCTGAGAATGGCAACAAATAAATAATTCATTGTAACGCATACAATTACTTACACTAGGTTTGTTGCACTTTCAATACATCTGTATGCGTATTAAATGACCCGTTTACGTACCTACAGGTACTCAGTGACGCAGTGAAGCATAAAATCTAATAATTTGAGGTTAATGGTAATTATAAACGACTAGTTAACGATTAAATAAAGTTGAGTTTTATGAATTCAGGGAAGCAATAAATCGAATTCATGTTCTAGTAATTGCTACATGTACCAAGTAGCTTAAACAATGAATAAAACTTGATTATTTCATTAAATTAATTTAATGATTTTGTCACTTATCATAATATATCAGTCAGGATATTGTATCTGCGCAACACACCGAAGTCACGGGCTACATGTAAAATAAAGAAAACGCATTGACGTCACAAAACAACATAAACATTGATCACTACAATAAATGTCATCGTTTGCAATGAAGGGGCGGCCGTAATGTGTACTTAGCCATTTTATTATGATAATAATTTGGAAGTGAAGACGAACGATGGGCGTATCCTCCATTATGCCCTGTAATTGACGAAACACCACACGTGTATGGAACCTCATTCTATAGTAAAACAATGTGACAAAAGGCTCTGAATCAAACGGATGAACGATTTACACACAATACGTGCCTGTAATTCGGTGTAAATGTATAAAGGGACGTTGACAAAGTGTCTATTTGTAGGTATCAACATTAATATTAAAACCGCGTGCCAATTAGACGTGCGTAGCGACGATAGGCTTACTGCCTGCTTGATAACATCGTCCACGGACTTTTACCGCACGTATCTATTCGAATAATAACGAGAAAATACAAAAAGCTTTGATTAAAAGTTTTATATATAAAACAGACTGTAAATGTTCTCATGGGCAACACCATAGGTGTAAAAGGAAATCTTGCAATATTTGAAGGTCCTAGCTACAAATAACCAAAGTTTGGTACCCCCCTAATGTTACACCCCCGAAAAGAGATATTCTGGTTGTGAAAGGTGACCTTAGATTGGAATGGGTCCATTAATATCATTTCGTACATATTATTATTTCGACCAATTCGAAATTGTTAACTTACGATGATTATACAAGAAGAAATATTTTATTGTTTCGTTGTGTTTTGGGTAGGTTCTGTATTGTTTAGTTTCACTAAGTTCAAAATTATTTTATTCTGGTACACAAATATTTTTCACTACCATTCCATGCGCCCGCGTATACGAGAAAGAGAAAGACATCACGGATAATCTATTGACGTTTGACGTTCCGTAGCTGTCAACGTTAAACGTCACCCGGCTTAAAAGGCTATGTTACATCCTTTTCCAACAAAAAGGCCTTTCATTTAATGTACATAGATATAGGTAGTGAGCAGTAGGTATACGTGTATGCCAGCTATTCGGCGCATAAAATACCAATTATATCCATCCTACACATAACCAAAATAGGCTGTAAGTACCTATTTGCACCATCGTTATAGATCATACTTTATTTTTAATCGTTACACATCATAATCTACTTCGCGGTTGAGTGGCTTCAAGAGCCTCTGTCAAGCACAAGGTCTCAGGTTTAATATCCGGCCGGACAAAGTGTTAGACAAAGTAGTGTTGGGCTTTTTAAAATACACAATATTACACGGACATGGATTGTAATTGTGTGGACTAAAAGAGTGGTACAAAAGTTGCTTATGATAACAAACTCGCTCGACAATCTTGAATACGTATTTAGATCGATATAACATAACATTACGCCTTTTGTCCCCGAAGGGGTAGGCAGAGGTGCACATTATGCCACTGTACAATGTAACACCCACTTTTCACTATTTATACTTGAGTCCCATTTAATAGGGGGTGCTCACCCCCTATTGCCATATACTGGGCACAATTCCAAACTCTGTGCTACTACTGAGATTTTTTTTAAAACCCTGTATTGCTATGCCCTACCCGGGAATCGAACCCGAGTCCCCTTACTCGGCAGTCGCACTTGCGACCACTCGTCCAACGAGGCAGTATTTACATCTAGATTCGTCTAATAGCCTTGAGGCGAGAATCTGTAATAGTCAAGTACAAGGATTATAAAAAAAGTTACTTTTTTAACAATAAATTCCTCAATACAATTGATTTGTCGTCTAGTGACTGCGTGGCTGCGCATAAATCTTCACTTCAAAGTCATTTTGCCATTCAGTTAACAGCAGAGATAAATTCGGTAGATACACCTGGAATATTTAGCAGATGTCAACGGACGTATTAGGAATTGATTATGTAATTCATATGCTAAATAAGTGTGGAGATAAATAATAGGCAGGTAAATCAACTACTTGAAGTTTGTATAAATACCTGCTTCTGTTTAGTTTACTCTTCAGGCATTTTTTACCTACACCATTCAAATTTAATTATTATTGCGCTTGTACTAAGTTATTTGAAAGAGTTTTTAAAAGCTTTCTTCCTTGTTTTAAGGATGTCTTTTCGATTTTTCACTGATATGTCATTGGTTATATCTCCAGTCCAGTTAAGCCAGACTATTCCTGCTGAAGCATGGTTGTCCCACGTGTAATATTCTGTTATATTATAATGTTATACTATTTTGTATATACAGTCTAAAAGTCAGTACCAACCCTAGCCTAGTTAGGATAATTACTAGATTATCCAACTGATAAAAATATTGTTTTCCTTATCAACCAATTGACTAAACAACAATTAGTTTAACTTATCAACTTATTTATTTTCTTCCGACATAAGTCCTTGTTGTTGTCTTGTGATCTTCTTTGTCATCATTAGCGGAAATTGTTAAGAAAAAAATACAATACACTTCCCTCAGTTGTTGGAAATTGTAACGATATCATTAACAAAAACAAGGAAAGTTGGTTATTTTATTTCATTGCCACCTTGAAATGAAACTCTGAGAAATAAACTGGCAGTTCAGGATAAGTCAAAACATCTGACAACGCATAATTAAAGTACCTACTAAATGTTTTGTCTCAGGGGTGTCCCGAGCCGTTGCAGTTGAAATATTTTTTGCGGGGGGATAATCATCCAATTACTTCTTCCGCCCTGGTTGAGAGAAAGAGAGTCTCAAAATTTTACTGACTAGAAACCACCCCTTTCTTACTCGGCCTATTCAGAGCCTCGGGTAACCCATTAACTCTTCTGGGATTCCAAGCTGTTGCAATATTAGATTACTATTTTTCATAAGTTATTATTATTATTATTCGTAAATTATTCCAATAGGAAGGATACAGAACGCTTGACATAACATTAAGAACAATGTTTTGAAACTAAATCAATGAAGATGTAACAAATACAATTTTGTATCTCAATGGCAGCGACTTAAGTAAGTTTATTTTCACAGTATTAATAATATATTTTCTTTACATTCATATCATTATGACAGTTTTTAAGCACACTAGGTACCTACTTTAATAGACGTTTGTCTGCTGCCAGGAGTGAACGTGTCGGGACTATCAGGAGTGAACCCAAAATATCTTACCACATTTAAAAACCACTACTAAATGGAGGCCAAACTGTCCATAATTTCTGAGAACGCAGACCCATTAAAATAAAATACAGATCGCTAAAAAGTCGTTTATGTACTCGAATTTCGGAAACCGGACTTTACTGTGCACACAGGAAAAACCAGTTTTGTATATTGTTTATAGAAAAGTTGTGTTTAAATCTTTTTTGCATTGAGACCTCTGAATTATAAAGAAGTGAAGTATTAAAAATCGCGGTTTACTCACGTGAATATACTGAGTAAAGCTCTACTAGTTACGAGACACAGAAGGACTCTTCCTCTTGAGCAGCGTGCGTTCA